TCTTTTATGTGGGGTGAAAATTATGATTGATAATAAAATAAGAGCTAATGTGTGGATTAAAGGGGATTCTTTGAATGCGATTAAGTGGTGCAATAAGGAACAAAAGGTTCCGTAGGAGCTTCGGTCATTGTGGTTACAAATTATGGATTTGGTTGAACCTATATTTGTTTTTTTTCAATCATTTGTACCGGGAAGCAAACTGCATTGCCGATTCTTTGGCCAAGGGAGGTGCTTCGTTGCCTTCTCTTGTAATATATTTTATTTAGTCATTAATAAAACTTTCAAATAATTGTAAAAAAAAAAAATGTATAAATGGTCTTATAGAACGCAATATTGCATCCGCTTTAACGTCAAAGCAGGGTTGACTGGTTCTATTTGAATAAATTGACCAACAAACTTAGCCTTGAAGTTTTGTCTCTTTTAGAGGGGAATAAATTTAGTTAAATATCAGTCATGTTAGGTAAATGAGATTATTGAAATAATAATGGTATAGTAATGTGAGTTTCTCTTTCTTCTAGCCATTCCATATTTATCGAAAAATAAATTTTAATCCATTTAGACGAGAACATATAAGGAAACAAAAAAAGTTGTCTTCTTCGTAATAATTAAGGCATTTATAAACACGATAGAAATAAAAATACAAACATTCTTTCCATCTCACACCTCACAAAGTATGGAATATATTACTTTTATAAGGAGCTTCTAGGGTGTTCTATGACATTAGCATGTGATGTTTTCAATTATATAGTCTCAATGGTCGTCTAAATCTACGGATTAACGTGATTAATTTTCAAACTACATGACGATTAAAAGCCTTTAAGCATATATTAAGAAAATCTATCGTAGAAAGAAAGGTTACCTCAACATTGGGCCCTGTATATACTTTTAGTTGGTTAATAAAATTAAAAAAAGGGTGCGGTTTGTATAGAGCTGACGCTCTAAACAATCAAAGCAAACCGTGCGTTCAAATAGTATCGAAAAATATGGTTTTAATACTAAAAATCTTTATGATAGTCTTAAAATTTTTTATTTTTATTTTTAATTACAAAATTTAAAGCTTAAAAATATTGTAGATCGAGCAAATCTTCGAAAACTTAAAAATCTTGAAAATTGACGATCCAAAACTTGAAGATCTTGAAAATTGACGATCCAAAAATGCCGATGCACTATTTCCAAAAATTGAAATCCATTTTTTTCTCATGTCCATGTCGAGATGATCAATTTAGGGATATTTGGACATCAAAACAACCTCTTCTAGTGAAATTTTTGAGGTGTGTTCTAATTTAAATTGTTTTGAGCCTCGACTCTATATAAACCTTTTTCATTAAAAAATCAACAAGAAAGAAATGTTACCTACGATATTTGCTTAAAGAACTCTTTTGAGAAAATTACAAATAACCCCCAAGACCAGTCTTTTTTTGTAAGTTACTCCTAACCAAAAAGCATTTCTCATGTTTTACCCCAAAATATACTTTCTTAGCAAATACCCCCAACCCAAAAATAAATAATAAAAAAAAGTCTAAACTACTCACCCTTATTTTTATCCATGCCTCTCTCTCAACTTTCCCACGAAAGGGCGGTCCAGCAGTGTAATGTCGGTCCAGTAAATAATAGTTGCAGTTTGGCAGTACAAGTGGCGGTTCGACACTGACAAAGAGCGGTCCGATAATTGGCCCATGTGGTTCGGCATTGCCAAAGAGCAGTCCGGCAACAAGCCTATGCGCTCCAGCAACTGGCCCATGCGGTCCAACAACAGGGCCAAAGTGCGGTCTAGCAATGTCAAAGAGCGGTCCAGCATTTTTTTAGATTAACAGGGTCTGGCAATATCAAAGAGAGGTCCGGTAGCTCATGTAAGCCCACGTGAATTTCCAACAAAAATTAAATTTTTATATACGAAAAAGGGTATTTTAGTAAAAAAAATGTACTTTTTTTTAGTTGGAGGTCTATTTACTAGAAAAGTACATTTTGGGAAAAAACGTGAGAAAGAAAGTTTGCTTGGGGTAACTTGCATAGAAAATCTAGTCCTGAGGGGTATTTGTAATTTTGCCAACCATCTTTTCTTGTAATATTGTATCCCACGTTAGAATTCCAGTCAAGATGTTAATTAAATGTAAAGGATGTGGTTTGTATAAGGTGGAGGCCCTAAACGATCAAAGTAAGGCGCACCTTCAAATAGTACCAAAATGTATTACTTCAGCATCGAAATTTTTTATGATGGCTTGAAAATTTATTTTCATCTCTGATTATAAAATTTAGATAATAGAAAACAATATAGATCAAGCGAATCTATGAACACTTGAAAATCTTGAAATATGACGGTCTAGATAATACATAACAAGATGCATTATTTTCAAGACTTGAAATCTATTTTTTCTCATGTTCACACATCTTGAGATTGAGATGATTAAATTTAGTGGTTTACTCATCAAAACCTCTTCTAATGAATTATTGAGATGTGCCTTTGATTGTTTGGGGTCCCACCCTTGTATAAACTTTTATCAAATGTAAATCATGTGAATACAATGAAAGAAAGTGTGAAATATAAACCAAAATAGCAGTATCAGCCTATATATGTGTTTCTATATAGGCAATTAACTATATAGGCAATTAATTAAAAAATTACTTATCCAAAAAATTAAATAAAAAAATCAAACTAATAATTGAAAAAACTAAAATAAAATAAAATAATGGTGAAATAATCTAAGCAACCGCTCCATGGTCTACAAGTTACAAAAGCTTTCATCCCCTAAATTACAGACTGCACAAATTTCGCATAACGATTGACGACTTATTGTCTCTCTCACCCCTCCTATTTCACCTCGGTGCATATATTTTTATTGGCATTTTGAAATTAAATCATGGGGAAGATGTGAAATTGTTCGGCTCTTAATTTGATAATTTGTTTTTTTATTTAAGGGAAGGATTTATGTGTGATTCCGACTACATATAATTATCTGTGATCCACTGCTGATTTAAATCGACGGTTAGGATTGCTCATGTCATAAATCAAGCCAAAATACTGTTTGGTTTTTAATGTTTTTATACAAAAGCCTTTTTAGCTGAAATTTGCGGCCTCCCATCTCCTTTATAGGGCGCACCTAGCAAAAATAAAAGGAAAATGTTCCTTATTAAAATAAGGAAAAAATTTAATGAATGTAGAATTAAACGGCACCTATAAAGTCCTTTGAAAAGGTTGTTTTGATGGTTGAAAGATATCTAATTGATCATCTAGACATCTAGATGTATAGATGTGGAGAAAAAAAGAGATTTTAAGTCTTAAAAATAGTACATTTCACAACACATTATCTAGACCTTTTATTTTCAAGATTTTCATACGTTATAGATCTGCTTGATCTGAACTACTTTTTTAGCTTAAAATTTTATAATTAGAGATAAAAATAGATTATCATACCATCCTAATAATTTTCAACACCAAAATTGTATCTCATAATAAACTTTGGAGGTAGAATTTACTTTGATTGTTTAAGGTTGCAACTTTATATAAACTGCGCTCTTAATATAAATGACCAAAATATCTTTAAAAGTTTTACGAAATATTTTTTACTATATACACCCCCAAATATCGCTACATAATAATTTATAAAAAAAATAAAAATAAGAAACTTTGAGCCATCGGATTAATATATGACGCTCAAGGCCAATCTTATCACATCGTGGCATATATGAAATCAAGGTCATAGTTAGCACGTCCATGATTAAAACACATTTTTTTTTTATTTTTTGAAATGCGTTTAGAACTCCGATTGTTTCAAATCACGACTTTTTAATGGAACCGATATAATTTATCTATTTTCAAAAAAGCTTTTCAAAAAAACTTCTTCCTTATAATTTTATTTCTTCATTAACTTAATATTATTGAATTTTTATTTAAAGATAAATACATTAACGGCGGGAGTAAATTAAGATTCTTGATTTAACAAAAAATTCACCAACGAGTTATCTTTAAAAATTGTACAAAAAACACAAGGAATATATTCCTAAAAAAAAACAATTAAAACAATTGTATATCTTAAAATTATAGGCAAAACTAGAAGAAAACCAACCTAATGAAAAATCTATTTTCTTTTTCTTCAAACCCATGGCATCTTTTCAAAGAGCAAGTGATATTCAATGATACTACATATTTAGGTAGCTATTCAGTGCGAGATTCAAATTTTCTTAAGCAATTTTTTTTTTTGCATAAAGATGTTTGATTAATTCTATCTTTTATTTTTTACTTTTTGTATTTTATTGGTATATACAACATAGCATTATGGATGGACTACTATTTTACATATTTTGGTCGTTTTCGTTTTTTTTAATTAGTTGTAATTCTATATTGACTGCGTTTTTTGTCTTTTTTAGAAATAATCCTATACCTTGATTCACGATTCTTGTTATTTACTAATTAGTTTTTATGTTTAGTATTGCTGTTGTTGTTTCATTATGTGCTAGTAATAGATTTACGTTATGTTTTGTGACGTGACAACAAACTAAGCGTTATTGTTGGATTTATTTAAAGTTTCAACAAAAAATTATTAAGTATTATTTTAATAAAGCTAATAAGGCTATAAAATTATTGTTTAGTGGCTTTAGTATATTTATACAATAACTGTAAATCATAATCTTATATTTTATCATCTTTACGTATACAATTTTTTCACTACATTTTTTTTTAACTAAATCGGAAATATTTATGATTATGTAACTTATGGCGATCCATTTTTTTGGTCCGACTTTTTGAAAGAAAATCGATTTGTTGTGGATGTTTTTGTTCTGCGGGTATTTTATTATCCCCTAGTGTCATGCCATGCCATGCCATGCCATAAATTCACGACAAAAATTCAGTGCACAGTTCGCACAAATCGTGAAGCGACAGCAAAAAAACCGTATAAGATTATACGCATCTTTCAGATCCCAATCAATCTCCAATCAAATCCCTCTCTCGATCTAACTCTTTCTCCCTCTAAACTTTCTCCTCCTTCTTTCTCTAATTTTCAACACTCTCCTCCTTCCCTCTCTAAACTCTCCCCTCCAAACCCCCTCTCCTCTCTCCGTTGGCTTTCCAGCTTAAAGGGTATTCAAAACGATCTCTAAACTCTCCCCTCCTTCTTTCTCTAATTTTCAACACTCTCCTCCTTCCTGACGCGACCTGACCCGACCTGACCCATCCCTTGTGTGCTGTCTGAGTCAACATATTCGCCTGTTCTTCTTTAATTTGTTGTTTAACCCCTGGTCCATTCAAAAAGTCTAAGAAAACCCCTGTTTCTGAATTTTCCATAGCCAGATGAACCTCTCGTTCTCATTTCCTCCTTTTGGAGAATCAAACAAACGCTAATTTTTCTCCTTCCATAACCAAGTCGAGTTTGGTTTGGAATGACCAAAAGGCTCGATGAGGGTAGAAACCCTTACTCTGCTCCTTCCCTTGACCAGATGTCCCTCTGGATCAAAAAGATTGAGAGGCTCAATCAAGGTCGAAACCTGGTTCTGAATCTTACATAGCCAGATTTGCGTCTGGTTCTGAAGGATCGGAAGTCGCCATGAAGCAAGGAACGCTAACTCTGGTCCTTGTCAACCTGGCTAGTATCATGGAGCGGGCTGATGAAGCCCTGCTTCCAGGTGTGTATAGAGAAGTAGGCTTGGCTCTTCACACTTCGCCCACGGGTCTGGGATCGCTGACTCTTTTTCGATCCATTGTTCAGGCTTCCTGTTATCCTATTGCTGCTTACTTAGCTGTTCATCACAATCGAGCTCATGTGATAGCCCTTGGTGCTTTTCTCTGGGCTATTGCTACCTTTCTTGTGGGAATCTCTTCCACTTTTCTTGAGGTGAGGTTTTTCTCATCTGTGAAATTATTCTATGCTTTCACTTCCTTTTCAAATTATAAGTTATTTTCATTTTGCATCTGGTTAGGAACTGAATTTAAGCTGGTGAATCGAGCTTTTGGTTACTTATCAGGATTTTTTCTTTGAATTTTGGTGAGACTTTGTTGTCTTCTGTTTAGAACTCTATTTACTTCTTTTGGATCTTTGAATCTTTGAACTCTAATATGCAATACCGGATTGGATTTTAGTTTTTTATTGGATCGTGCTTTTTTATCTTATGGTCTTTGTTCAAATGGTATATGTGGTCCATCTTTTTTGATCCATGGAAAACCATAGAATCATTTCTTGATTTGCCAATCTATTAGCCACTTGAGTTGATTCTTAGTGCTTAGGTGGAACCTCATTGAGTTCCATCCACTGTAGAAGTTATTGACATTCAGGGTTTACCCATGAGAAAGAAAAATGAAGTAAAACTATCCAGGAAAATCGCTTCACTAGAAATTCCAAGAGCTTCTTACGAAAATATTTAGTTGCTGAGTGTGCAGTCAGGGTGGAGGAGCCACAACTTGACATCAAAGGTTCCATTCCTACCCATTAACTTGTCAAAAAAAGAGAAAATAAAAAAAATAAAGAGGGGTTTGATGGAGTGAATGGAGGAGGAAATTAAAATCCATGCACCTGTATTTTCCAAGTGATGTACTTAACATTTGTATTTCTGTAAAACTTCTTCGGAAGGTTTGAATAGCTATATATAAATGTGTGCATGGACACGCCCACACATGATTTGAGTAACAATGTATGAGCTTAGTTGCGCACATGCAATCTCATGCTTATATGACATGTTTTATGGGGAAAGGCATAGGAAGGGGAGAATCAAAATTTGAGAAACTTGAGAACTAAAATATGTTCATGATTTAAAGATCAAGTGAGATTGTTCTTGTTGGTTTAACACCATAGTTTCTTTAAAGATTTCCTTTTTTGGAGTCATTAGGGCATGTTCCTTGATTGGTTTCAGTCTTATGTGTCCTTTCTTTTTTTCTTTCTTTATTTCCTTTCTTCTTCCATGTCAATGTTCCAAGATAGCAATGCCTCAAACCTTTCTTCCTATGCCAAATATTTTATAAATGTGTTTGTCACATTAAGATTGAAAACTTATCACTATAACAGCTCAAATATTTTAGTTTCTTATACTTTTAATTATTTAATAAAGACATTATTTTTAAAAAAACATATCAAGCATTTTAATGCCTTTTAGATAACAGAAATTGAATTTCCAAGTATCAAGTTAGTAGACAAGTGAAATCTCCACGTCTGGAAAGCCTCTTTTATTTTCTTTATCAATAATAAGAATTTTCAATCCTTAGAGGGTAAAGTAATCTTGCTATCTCAAGTGGGTCTTTTTGCAATCTGAATGTGTGGCCTGATCTTCCATCTTTAGAACCCGTGTGGAGGTACCTTCTTGAGTTCATATTTCTTGGATTTATTGGATAATTTAAGATATTGTATGTCATGAATAAATAATAACAAAATAAAAATGTAGTAAGCATCACAAAATCCTGGGAAAGTCATTTTCAAATCATATGCTGGATAAGCATGGTAGGAATTAGGATCACGAGAACTTGCTGCAACTCATAGGAATTGTATAATCTTGGAAACTTAGGAGACACCATATGGCATGGTTGATGGGAAAGGTAACCTCTTGGTACTAAGGATACTGTGAACTGAGTATTAACAGATAAATGACTGTCCATGGTCGTTTTGGCCGCAGGGATCATCAGATATATGGTTAACACCACGTATATGAGTTTATCCGTGGTCCTTGTTTGTTGGGTAAGTCATTATGGATATGACACTTTCCTTGTCTAGTAGAAGCTGTGCATATATAGGCATGGGTGGCATGCAGGGATGGCATAGTGAATGCTTCACGCCATGTTCTCTTGAAGGTATGTTCTTATTTTTACACAAGGTGTGCCCCAGATATTGAATACTCCAGCTGCTGCTTTGTCCCAATGAGTGGATATGCTGTTGATGACACAACTCATAGGCTAGGTTCATGGATCTCCAGCTTTGGTGTATGGTTACAATGTGGATTTGGTCCTCTTTATATAATGTGTACTTCTTGTTGTGGGCGTTGAAAAGAGATGCCATATATTCCTGCTTATTCTGATCCATTATTTGTTGATATGACACCTACAAGATTGGAAGATGGACATACTCATATGGTAAAATCCTTCATGACTGCTTCCCAGGTGCTACAGTTGAGTTGCATGGACTCAAGAAAATAGTGCCTCAACATCTTGATTTTGATGGGCATTTTGGGAAGGAAATTTCTCGAGATCAACAGAAAATTTGGTTTCACAGTGCTAACCTATAAGCATTGTGTAATATCATACCTCAGTTGTTTGTTAGTGAATGTAATTGTGCATGATCAAACCATGCACCTGTGGTGTATGCTACATGAAACAAATGGACCAACTCTGTCTTCAATAACTAAGATTGGAGATTAATATTGTGGGGCCCACCCTGACGGTCACTTGGGTATTTTTTATCTCCACTGTATGTCATTGGGCCTTCTTGTTTGGTGTGCCATGTACCTTCCACCAATGGTGTTTACCATGAATGGTTTGCTAATTAGCTTGCATGATGGATACAAACAGGGGGGCTTATAAGGAACTACTTAGGTTCACATGTTGTGTGTTGAGATAACTCCGCTATGGCCAGTCGCAAGCAGGTCATGTCAGTCCCAAGTCCGGATAAAAGAGGAGGGTTGTGTTAGGTAGGGCAGTCAGCTTAAAATTTTGCCACATATTTTGATGATAGTCAACCACAAATAGTTGGGATAAGGCTCGGAGGATGATGATGTTGTTGTTGTTTGTTGAGGTGAAGTATTCTGGAACAGATGACACGACTTTTAAATATAACAACTTAACGAATAATTCTTCAACAATTAAAAGGTATACGGCACTTGTCAGAGAATTTGTGCATTTCATGTTACCCACCCTAGGGCCTCATTTCTCTCCTAGCATTCTTCATAAACATCAATATTGCTGTCCCCAGTCATTTTGAACTGAGTATTTCTTTCACATTCTACAGGTAGCGATCTCCAGAGCCTTGAATGGAATTGGGCTGGCAATAGTGACCCCTGCCATACAATCCCTTGTTGCCGACTCGACAGATGAAAGCAACCGAGGGATAGCATTTGGTTGGCTCCAGCTCACAGGCAACATCGGCTCCATAGTTGGAGGCCTTTTCTCTGTCCTATTAGCCTCCACCACAGTAATGGGGATCCCTGGTTGGAGAATGTCATTTCATTTAGTTGCCGCTGTGAGCGTTATAGTAGGAATATTAGTTCGACTCTATGCAAATGATCCACGCTGGTCCGAAGAAGTTATCAAAGGAAACAGCCCCCGTTCACATGCACCCTTTTGGTCAGATGTAAAAGCACTCATAAAAGAAGCAAAGGAGGTTATGAAAATCCCTTCTTTTCAGATAATTGTGGCTCAGGGTGTGACCGGTTCATTTCCATGGTCAGCATTATCATTTGCTCCAATGTGGTTGGAGCTTATTGGTTTCTCTCACAAAGGGACAGCTTTCCTTATGGGCTTGTTTGTTGTGGCTGGTTCATTAGGGGGACTCTTTGGAGGGAGAATGGGGGATCTTTTGGCCAAGCGTCTTCCTAATTCTGGGAGAATAATTTTAGCGCAGATAAGCACGGGTTCAGCCATTCCGTTAGCAGCGGTTTTGATGCTCATGTTACCTGATGACCCCTCCACTGGTTTCATGCACGGCTTGATGCTGTTTATTACAGGGTTCTGCATATCTTGGAATGCGCCTGCTACCAACAAGTATATTCTCTCTCGATCTCATCTTCAAGCTTCCTAAGTTCATACGCCCTTTACGTTGTGTGTTTGGTGCTTTGTTTCTCTCTCCTGACCACGTTTCCATGTTTAATAAGTGAAAAATGGCCTACGTTTCTATGCTTAATTCTTATATTTTCTTTGTCCCAACCCATTTCCAGATTTCTATGTTCGCATATGATCAACTTCTTGAAAATGAGCATTCTAGGAACAACCACCTGACCCTGATTTTCTTATGTAATTTGTGAAACGTAAATGTTTATAAGCTGATTCCTAAATTTTCGTTTTCAAGAAGTTGATCATATAGGAACTTCTATGGAATGATGGACAGTGGGGAGAGTTGCCCACCAGAACAGGACAATACCTTTGGATTCCTCTCTCCTTATCACTGGCCATTTATTGGATGGTGATGATCTATGGACTTATGTTTTTCCATGGCTATTGGACTGTAGTGTACTACATCTAATATTGTACAAAAATTTTCCAATTATTAAAAGAACAGCAAGAAAACTCACCCATTTGTTCTGGTTGGGAAATGCAGCCCCATATTTGCAGAGATCGTACCAGAAAGATCACGAACAAGCGTCTATGCGTTGGATCGGTCATTTGAGTCCATACTGTCATCCTTTGCTCCTGCAGTAGTGGGACTTCTCTCGGAGCAGGTTTACGGGTACAAACCAGTCCCGAAAGGATCAAATGAGGCAGTTGAGATTGAAACCGACAGAGAAAATGCCGCTTCTTTGGCCAAAGCTTTATACGCAGCCATAGGTGTCCCTATGTCTCTCTGCTGGCTAATCTTTTGCTTCCTCTACTGCACGTACCCAAGAGATAGAGAGAGGGCAAGGTTTCAAGCTTTCATAGAAGCCGAGTTGCAAAACATGGAGGCAGAAGAGCGTTCCCCATCTGGGGAGTATTCCCAAGTTCATATATTTGAATCGGATGAGTTTGAAGGAAAAGAAAGGGCAAGAAGTGGAGAGATTGGTCATGTTTTTGAAAATTATGAGGCTGATGATAGTGATAAGAAGAAACTCCTTTCAAACTCTGAAACATCATCATGACAATCAATTCACATGTGAACTTCATCCAATTGATATCCCTAGTCTCTATCTCAAGTGGCAAGTGTTTGCTCGGTGACAGGTTGATATCAGTATTCAGCCATACCTGCTCAAGAAAAGGAGCTTGGGTTTTGATGGCTTATTCTGCAGGATTGCTAGTGATTCTCTTGGAAACTGTCTGGTCCCTTTGTGAGGTTGTTCTGTCCATTTAGAGGGGAGTGCACAATGACTGCTGCTGATTGTCTTGGTGAGAACTTCTTGTTAGGCTACAAAGAAGGAAATGGATTTTGATATTTATCCTTTCTCAATTGGTCTATTCCTGTGGTTGTTGTGCATTTTGCTATCTCATGTTTAGTGAATAGAGGAATATCCAGGTGCATTTTTGGCCTTTTCCACGTGTTATTAACTACAATTTATGTTGTACTTTTGGAGTGGAAATAGTATTGTAAGAGTTGCTGCATTTGCAAGGGCGTGTTGTTTGTATGGGAATCATTGCACTCGTGTTAATTCATCCATTTGACTTATCAGCTTTCGAAAATTGCTTCTTCAATGCTTGCGACTGCCATCAGATTTAACGGAAAAATAATTCTGTTGAGTATCAGAAGCTGCCTCTGGTTGGAAAACCACCAGCCAGGTGTATATTTTGGAGATGGAGTTTACTTAAAGTGAAGGATTATAGGATGCCCAAGAACTTTTGATTTGGTGATTTGGGTTTTAATGAACAATAGATCAAGCCACATGGGATATGGGAAGTATCACTAAAAGCTTCTTATGGTGGTTCCCTGGTGGTAGTGCAGAGACCTGAAGCGATTCATGAGTATGCTTGTTGAGCATTGCTATTGCTAGAGCCCAAACATTAAATTAATTGCCTCATACAGCTCAAGCTTCATTTTGGCGGTGAACTTGGACAATTCACTGTTGAGCATGGTTCATGGTTTTGGTTCTTGACTGAAACCGATTGTTGAATATTGAAACAGTCTACTCCTTCAGCTGGATTTCATATGTTGCCCGTGGGCTGGTATCTCCCTAATTTCATGAGTGTCCAATCCCAGTGGCCCCTTATCTTAATGCATACCTCCTAGTTCATGTTGTCCTATATGTATTCATAGGAAGCCAGAAATTTTCTGCAGCTGCTCTTTCTCTCTCTCTCTCTGCCCTTCACCTCCGCCCCTTTGGCTGAAGGACCAGCTACCGCAGGACCAGCCTCTTCTCTGAGTCTGTCTCTACGTCTCTCTCTCTGGTTGAATAAGAGACCAGCTACGGCAGGATATTTTCGCCACACAAGCCAAGTTTTTATTTTATAAGAACCTTGAGTAACAAAAATGGGGAAAAAAAGTGGAAAAGAGGGGGAACTAGAATTAGATGTACGCAATGGTGTCAACGTTCCATTCTCCCGTTCATACAGAAATATGGCTCCTTTTTAATGATATTGTTCTTGGGTTTGTTAATATGGTATCAATCTTCAAGAAAAGGCTGATGCTGCCGCCTAGGCAGGCAGCCAGATACCTAGGCAGCCCTAAGGGAAAGGGGTTGAGTAGGAGCCATCTATTGTTGTGTGTGTGTTGTGAATGTATGTGTTTGTGTGTTTAGTATGTTTATGTGCATGCGCACATATGTGTGTATGAGGTCTTGTATGAAATTATTAAAGATCATCATTTTTTTTTCTTTTTTCTTTTTCTTTCTTAGGATCTGTATTTGTGAGAGAGAGGTTTCGAACACTTGGAAGATATATCAAGAGAGAGAGTCTGTGAGAGAAAGGGACCTCGCATCGAACCTTTGGAGGTCATTTTATTCTTTTCCTTCTTTCTTTGTTCTTACATATAAAGAGGGAGCATATAAGTCAATGTGCATCTTTATGTGTGTGTGAGAGAGGGGCCATGCATCAAACACGTGGAGTCCATCTCGTTTTTCTTCTCATATATGGTAAGAGCACATGGACCTGAAAGAGGGGCAATATCATGCTTTATTTTTGTTTGGGTGGATTTAAATTTTTTTTGTATATCTATGTGTGTGTGAGAGAGAGGCCATGCATCAAACACTTGAAGTTCATCTCTTTTTTCTTCTCATATATGGAAAGAGCACATGGACCCGAGATAGGGGCAATATCAAGCTTTATTTTTTTAAGGGATGGCACTAGGCGCCTGCCTTAAGCATGCTTCCCAGACGCCTAGGCGGTTTGTCAGCCAGCCCACCTAGGGGCGGAATTTTTGTTCATTGGATGGTATTTATGATAAAATTATTGTTATTCTCATATTGATTGGTACTAGTTTGATATTTATATCAGGATGATATCAGGATGGGCCTTGGAGCATCAGTAGTCTCCTTCCTTAAACGTATTCTAGATCTAAAATTGCCTGGTCAATAAAGCCGGATTGTGAATTTCTGACCTGGTTTCAAGTGTGTAAGGTTGCAACCTTGCTTGTATGACTAAAGTTGCAGCATTCTACACTACACCTCTTAAGGAAGGACTTCCTATACTTCTCTTCCTATTTAGCCGTCCAATTTGAATGGACAGCTGAGGTTACTTGTCTTAAAATGTTACAAATGAGCCCTTGATCGTAAGATCTCCAATGTTTCAGAGTATTTTATTTTTATTTTATACCTATGAAACTTGTAAGTTTAATAGAGGAATGGAACATATGAGCCTAACGGTCCAGATTGAATCTATTAGTATTAACTCATCATAAGAGAACAATGGAGCATACGAACCCAACCCTCTTTATATATGGAAAATGTTGATATTAACCCACAAGCTCATATGAACATATGAGTCCAACGGCCTAGATGTTCATATGAGCGAGTGGGCTAATCTCAGCATTATCGGAAAACACTTATAGGTGAAGTTCTACGGTACTTCACTTTATCACTGTTCAAAGTTTATCAAACAGCTACAAATGTCTGATAGTGTTTTAATTGTAATATTTGTTTTACAAATCATAATGATATGAAATTTTGTGAGTGTGTGCACCTCAGTGAGATGCACATGAATAAAATATAAAAAAAATAATTTGAATGATAAGAATTATGTAAAATACCCCTATAAAAGTTTCAGGAGTAATTTCATCATTTGATCTTATGACTATTATTTTTTAATATTTTATTTTGGTGTGACTTGATCATTTGTACGCACGCTCTAAATTTTAGATAAATATGATTAGTATAATAATTATAAAAATTCAAATACTATTAGATAACTATAACTGTGTGATGAACTTTGAACAATGATGAAGTGTACTGTAAAATTTCACTTATAGGTGTTTTGTAGATACTTCACTTCATATATATATATATATATATAGTCAGCAGCTTCATGTGGATAAGCTAAATGTGCCAACGGTCCAGATTGAATTTGGGCCGTTCTGACGATCACGGATGTGCTATAATATCCAGTAGTATTTGAATTCTTTTTTTTCTTTTAGTTAATCCAAATCACTTGAAATTTTAGGCGTGTGTTCTTAAAAATGAGGTGAATCTATAA